CATGCAATAACTTTCAGGTATTTCAGGTAGGTATTTCAAATGATAATAGTATTGTAATTGCATATAATAAAAACTTTGTTGTTTTTTGTAAATCATCCGATTAGCTTTTATCACGCATATCAAGTACAATACGCAAGCTTGGTCCTCAAAACTTTCTTTCTTAGATATTCCAATTTGCGTATTAAATACTAATTTTCCGATCGTAAAAAGATCACGCTGCAGCGTAACAAAGCTATATGTGGGTAAAGCGCGGCACGACTTGTGGACAAATAAATGATTATCGATTATTCTTGGTGAACTAATATTTATTCAACGTTGAAAACAATACTCGTACGAGGTTTATTACCCAACAGATCATTAGGCCGATACCTTGACCCTTTCGAACGCGACTCGTACGGAATTACATTATATACACGGTACTTGTGGTCGTCCATACACGCGGTCAGAGTTTCGTCGAGAATTTCGTCTCGTTTTATCGTCACCAGGTAAACAGCCGGAACTGTTGCGTATATTTTCTTCCTTTCGGCGACCAAATAATAATGCCTACCCAGGATTGTCCTCCGCGCCGAACGAGGCCTCTTACCATTGTTTGTCAGCACTTTTCAGTTCTGTACAAACGGACCGGTGTCGCGACCGTGTATTTTTATACGGTTATATTATTTATGTGAGCGTACACCGACGACAATATCGGTTACCAACTGTTTACACGAGGGACCGGCTACGTGTGTGGGCGACGGGTAAAAGTCTCGGAGCGCGTTAACGGCGGCCGGGCCGAAGTAAATATTTATAATATACACGGTGAACAGTTGTCCCGCCCGTAGACCGGGTGTTGCGAGATCCGTGTGTACGTTTCGGTTAAACGTGTACACGGACGGGGCTCGTGGGACCCCGAGGGATGGAGTTGACGAGCGCGGCGCGGGTTGTGCGTTTTTTGTGCACGCATAACGTATTGCATTGTACGTGCGCTTAGAATGCGACGACGACGGCGACATGACGACCTAGTCAAAACACGAGCCACTAGGCGAATGAATTATGAGCCAACGAGCGAAGAAAAAAAAAAAATAGAAAAAATCCGTACACATAATACACGTCCGTACGTTAAAACCCGTATAGATCATTCGACGAGTCCGGGCCGCGTAAACATCGCATTAATTAAATTACGTACATTATTTTTAGAGTTCTCGCGGGCACTGAAACGCGTGGTGGTAGCGAGCTGATGCGCGCCGGGTCTCGTATCCAACTTACGTCTCGCAACGTTGCAACAGTATATTATACGATCCTACGCAGTCGTCTGTTTCATCGGAAACGGTCGTTCTTTCCGATTCGTTTTGCCGACACGTCGTCGGGTACCGAAATTAATAACTCCTGATGACGACTTGGCAACGGACACGACGATGTGCCCTGAAATAGTCATTGTAACACTAATAATCATAATCGTAGTACGCGTGTCCACGTGCGACAGTGTTATAATCGCGTAACGCGCAGAGACAAACTGACCGGTGCAGGTAATCGGTATTACCGACCGCCTAAATGGTACACAAATATATTTACGAACGGTATAAACATTCGAAACGATAATTACTTAATACATTCGATACGAACATGACATGTTTTACACTCGACACAATCCACACGTGTTGCTACATGTGCGACAACAAAACGTACTGGGACCACAGACGACGGCTTCTAAATAAATCCTTTTTCTTCCCCATAGCGCCTACCTATATCTTAACTCGTCCTCTTGTTTAGTCCACGCAAATGTTATAGTTATTCAGTGGCATCAGTAAATCATCGCGAAACGAGATTGTTAGTCGAAGAACATTAACTCATTAACCAATACTGCTTCTAACCGGATATTCTTGTGAAAACGCAACACTATAGCCTAACTTTTATTGAACTAGATGATTTTTAAGTGCAAAAAGTCTTGGTTACCCAGGGATGCTTGATTACTATAATATACGTAATACGCCCTGGAACGTTACGCAGTACATAGTAAAATTTTATGTGAGGATTATTTTTTTTTTTAGTAATTACTGCACCATGATTAGATGATATTTTATCAGGATATTTTTGTAGTTTTTCAAATTTAAAATGGACATAAAAAAAAATAAAGATTGTAGATAAAAATGTAATCAACAACAATCCGATAATCTGTAAGCCTTAAGTTAGTAAAAACCAAAGGTTAAAAGGAGGTAAATTTAGGTATCAATTTTCCAATTAACGACGTTTCGTTTTTGTGCCTAAATAAAAATTAATAATTACTCGGGTTGTATCAAACACAGAAGTAGACAAATTAATTTTACTTATAATAATTCAAATATGGTTTTCTAGACTTCGGTTACGGAATAATTGTCTTAATGTAATAAGTTCGGGATCCACATTTTTTTTTTTTATTATTCATGTAAAATAAAAGTAAACAAAATAAATAAGAATAAAACAATTTTTAGTTTTTCATTCCATGTGACATATTCTATCACAACCTACACATTGTACTAAAGAATTTAACGACTCTGACGTGCGTAATTTAAATTCTATATTATTGTATCAAAATTAAGTAAACATATTTAGACACTATTATTATAAGTAAAATAATTTTAGTTTTAATATATGAATATCAGTCTATTTAGTGATTGATTTACAACATATATTATAGTTGAATGTATTAATATTATTAATCAAAAATATGAATCGTTTATTTCTACACTTAAAAAATGATTGAACTTAGCTGTTCTATTGTCTATTATTGTTCTTCAGTTATTAGTATATGTTTTGCAAAGCGTACATTTTTCTTATTGTACGGCTTATAAACGATGTAACAATGTTATTTTTTCATTTTTTTTTTTTTTTACTTATCTTAGCTTTTGTAGTCTTTGGTTTAATATTTTTGTGTTTTCAAAGGTAAATAAATTATTGACTGCTAGTCAATAAGGAACAGAATATAACATTTATAGTAAGCTACTAGAGATTGATTGTTGAGTGGTGAGTAACTCAAAAACTCTTATTGTATATCGAAATTTGTAGTTGTGAGATCAGTTGTGTGTGAAAAAATAAAACAAAATTAACGATTCCCTACTGATTGACAGTATTCAATTGATAAAGCTATTTTATTTCAGGACCAAACATATTGTTTGTTGTATAATAACCATCATAAAAAAAACGGTAATTAATTAAATATTCAGTTGCTTTGAGTTTTGATCTTGAAAAACCACTCCACTCATTTTTTTTTTTCATGCGTATTGTAGTTCTATAATTATTACAACTATAAGTACTTTCATAATACAATTTAACAACATACTGATATCACGCATAGGTGCCTAACTCCCCTTATTTAATCCAATGGACGATTTAAGATAACACATGTCACTCCTCAATTCATATATAACATATTATGATGCACGTCATACTATTGTTATATGATATTTAGTGAAGTAAAGTTATCATCTAATTGAGCTCAGTAGACTTTTTTAGCTAATAGATAGTACATGTTTAATAATTTTCAATAATTCATTATTTTCGTAACATCATTAAGTCACTATAAATAACAATTTAATTTTTGTCAGCTGAAGTTCAATAATGGGTAAGTTTTATTGTTGTTTATATATATATCATCATTATATTTATTATCGTTCACACTGTACACACGTTAGAATGAATTTTAACTATTATCAAACAAAATAAATTAAATAGTATTAAACATAATACCTATTTTCAAATAATATTTTTAAGAACAGTAATTTTTCAAAATAATAATTATTTGTGTGCACACGATAGTTAAAGAAAAAAATTAAAAGTAACTATAATTTTTATATAATACAGTTAAACCTCGATAAGACGAAGTCACTTGGGACCATGATATTTTTCCGTATTAACGGGGTTTCCGTCTTAACGGTGTTAGTTAATTGTATGTAATTTGAAACGGGACCAGAAAAATGTTCCGTTATACCGAGGTTTCCATTTTACCGAAGTTCCTTTTTATCGAGGTTTTAGTGTAATAAATTTAGACTCATTTTGTAAAATATAACAATAAGAACGGTTATAAAAACGGTTAATAAGGGATCTAAAATGGTATCTGATGTTGAAGTATTCATATTAACAGAATTGTATTTATTATTAAAGAACAGCAAAGAAGCGATTTGTTTTATTTATCGAGACTTTTCATTATTATTGCATATTCTGTCTTTTATGATACTCAATACAGTAACATTATAGTAACTGTAGAAATCCTATTTTCATTTGTTCAGGGATTTATTTAATAACATTTTTATGCATTTATCAATTCTCAATTTATTTCTTGACAATAAAGATATAAACTTAAGTCAAATTTCTGAATTATCATTATTCAGCTTTAACTATAAACTGATGTGTCTTTATGTAAGGTGAGTTCTAAACTACTTACCAACACTTTTTTCGTAATAGCTCCCAATTCTACGTCTTTTTAATATTAAATATAATATATTTTTTAGTAAATCAAAGAGTTTTTCAACAAATTGAACAATATTGTATTTGAATATGAATTTATACTCGCGTTACGTTTAGGTAAACAAGTAATTTAAATGTAACTATTACATAATTCAATACCTCGATAAGAATATATTAAAGTGCCACGTGTGATATATCAAAATGACAACACTTAACATTATATTTAGAAATTTATGAACCTCGATCGCCGTGTCTAACATACTGATACTTGGATACTTTTTTATTAAATATATTTTATTACGGTATTGCTTCATTGTTTGATCTGTATGTCATAAGTTATATAGCCTGGCAGTGGGAAATGCTTTTACAAAAATCGACGATTGCGGAGAACACTTTATACAGTTATTAGGTTAAATCTAAAACACTATGGTGTGAAACTTCTGAAATCGTATGTAACATATACGTTTAGGAATTGTATAAACAATACTAAATGAAATTAAACGATCTCTGTGTTTTTAATCTAACTTATAAACTAATCACAAATCGCGTTGATAACATTTTTGAATAATTTATTTTCACAGGTTTTCAATCGGAAACAATGGATTTTCAACCAGAAATCAACATACAGCGAAATGTGTACCAAGTGGACGCGTTGGCCAACAAGAATCCAGGGGAACTAAATCGGCCAGTCGTGAAGTATAAGAAAAAACGGAAATGTATGGATTACGTGAAGACCACGATACCCGCAATCGACTGGTTGCTGCTGAACTACAACTGGTCGGAGGACTTACTCGAAGACATCATGGCTGGCATCACGGTGGCCGTATTGAACATACCACAGGGCATGGCCTACTCGATCTTGGGCAACGTCGAGCCCACCGTTGGACTGTATATGGCCGTGTTCCCGGTGCTCGTGTACAGCATCCTGGGCACGTCGCGACATATCTCCTTGGGCGTACTGTCCGTCATATGCCTGATGACGGGCAAAGTGGTGTCCACGTACGCCTCGGACACGATAGCGGATCCGGAAGGATATACCAACATGGAAGTGGCCACGGCCGTCACCATGGTGGCCGGTTTAGTGCAGCTGCTCATGTACGTGTTTCGGCTGGGCATGCTGAGCACCATACTGTCCGAGACGTTGGTCAGCGGCTTCACCGGCTCCGTGGCCGTCATCGTGATCACGTCGCAGCTGAAAGAGTTGCTGGGCGTGGTCACGGTCCGGCGGAACGGGCCGTTGCAAGTGGTGTACACGTACTACGATTTCGCGGTCAACTTCCACACGATCAACTGGATGACGGCGCTGGTCTCCGCGGTCACCATCACCATTCTGCTGGTGTACAACGCGTTCCTGAAGGACAAGATCAACAAGAAGCTGTGCATGCCGTTGCCGATAGAACTGTTGATCACGGTCGTGGGCACGACGCTGTTTCAGATCACCAACATTGCCGAGGATTACAACATGATCCAGGTAAGGGGACCGAGTTTAACGATTTATCATTATATCGTATCGCTTCGGAGACGACGACGGTCGAAACGACGTGCGATGTTGCTAACGGGTTGTGCGCTCCGTTGCAGATGGGCGAGATCAAATCCGGGCTGCCGGGCATACAGGTGCCGCCGCTGAAGCTGTTCCCGTCCGTGTTCCTGGACGCGTGCATCATAGCGGTGGTCGCGTACTCGATATCCATGTCGCTGGCGCTGCTGGTGTCGGAGAAGCTCAAGTACCCGATCGACACAAATCAAGAGCTGCTGGCGCAGGGCATGGGCAACGTGATCGGGTCGCTGCTGTCGTGCCTGCCGTGCGGCGCGTCGCCGTCGCGCAGCGCGTCGCAGCAGACGGTGGGCGGCAAGACGCAGATGGCCAGCATCGTGTCGGCCGGCATCATCGTGGTGGTGCTGCTGTGGGTGGGCGTGGTGTTCGAGCCGTTGCCGCGGTGCGTGTTGTCCAGCATCATCGTGGTCGCGCTCAAGGACATCGTGCTGCAGACGTTGGAGCTGCCCAGGATCTGGAGGAACTCGCGCACGGACGGCCTGGTGTGGCTGATCACGTACGCCGCGACGATCGTGCTGGACATCGACGTGGGCCTGCTGATCGGCGTGCTGGTGTCCGTGCTGTGCGTGTTCGTCAAAGGCGTGCTGATCGACGTGCACGCGCTCGGCCGGTTGCCCGGCACCGACCTGTACATGCGGCTGGACACGCACGGCGACGCGGCCGAGGTGCCGGGCGTCAAGGCGCTGCGGTTCGCGGGCAGCGTGAACGTCATCAACCGGTTCGCGTTCAAGCGGAAGATCGTCGAGGCGCTGCGCTCCGAGTACGCCGCGGACGCGCTGGTGGCCAGCGCCGTGCCGTCGGTAGCCGTGCTGTCGGCCGCGCCGCCGGAGCCCGGGTCGCGCACCGTCGTGCTGGACATGGCCGGGCTCCAGTACTCGGACGCGGCCGGCACCAAGCTGCTGTGCGAACTGTTCGAATCTCTGGTGGCCGACGGCTACGACGTGTCGCTGGCCGCCGTGCCCGACGCGTCGATCGGCTACATGCGCGCCAACGGGCTGCTGTCCGCGCGGTTCTTCCCGACCGTGCACGACGCGGTCGTGTTCCACCAGCACCGGCGGCAGTCCCGGCTCCTCGACGCCGTCGTCGTCAAGTCCGCGAACGGCGAGCAAAAGCGCTTCTGACCGCGCGCCCCGCCCGCCCCGTACGGTATCTGATTGGCACCCGGTCGTCACGCATCCGTCCGACCCACCTTACCTACCCCTCATCTACCGGTCGTCGCCGCTTGGACGATCTCCGAGTTTCGTCTCGCGGGAAACGCGTGCCGCCCGGATCGCGTTAGTTTTACACTTACCATATTGTCATACGCGTGTGCAACCGAAACGCTTATTTTTCCTACACAATTAACTATATCATTATTTTTACTATTATTATTATTATTATTCACGACCCCTAAACGGAAACAATGTACAAATTGTTCGAAAACGACCATGTAATAATAATGAATTTGTAACGCTTTTGGACAAATAATTGCCGTTGGTTGTTTTTCTACGCGCGACTATTATTTTTGTAATTATATTTATTATATATATATATATATATTAAATGTACACTTTTATACATCATGTTATTATTATCATTGTTTAACATCAGTCTCGATCCGCGTTCACATGTCAATCGAGACAGCTTAAAGTCCACCTCAACGACGACAACGAATTGGTCGGTTAAAGATAAATCAAAGGCTAACGAATTTTCTAATACATTGTAAGTATCATAAAATTACCTCTAAAACGAGCATGAATGCCTAGTCACCCTTGGGCCAGAACAACTTTTTTACCAATAAAACACCAAATAACCCAAACTCTAACCCTAAACTTAGCAATACAAAAACTAACTCCATGATGCCAACAACAATCCAACCAAACCTCAAACTTAACTCAAATTCACAATCCAAAACTTGTCGAAATCAAATCACAGGAAATTCAACATCTCAATATTCGAACATCAATATAAATATAAACACATAATATGCCAAAGCGGCATCAATAAATATTTATCCAAAAAAAAAAAAAAAATAACTATCGAAATAAATAACAATATACAACACAAATATGTACATGCGCAGTGGCGTAGCCAGGATTTTTAAATGGGGAGGGGGACTAACCACTTTTTTTGGATAAGTAAGGTAAGAGAGGATATGAGAATTCACCCTTAACCCCCCACCATCTACCACCAAGTTTCTAAACGTAATTCAAGCATTTTAGCATAGTTTTAAAAATATTTATTAATATATAATTTATAATAATAATAATAATTTTGGTTTCAGTGTTCAGTCACTTGTTCCAATCTGACAGCTGCATTCTCTTAGGCGAATTTCTGGCAAATTCATTTATTATTTCACTTTCATCAAATAGCTCTTTTTTATTTATATTAGCCATAGCTAACCCATTCAGTCTGTTTTCCGACATGGTGCTTTTTAAAAAAATTTTTAAGCGATTAAGTGCTGAAAACGTTCTTTCCGGAGTGAAAGAGGTAACTGGTAACGTGGCGAATAATTGTAAAAGTATTTTAATGTTAGGTCGAAGATTGGTGCGATGAGAGAGTGAATCAAGAGCAGAATTTTGTTTTGGAATAGTATTTTGACTCCATTGTTGCCTCCATATGAACAGGTCAGCTCTGATTGTAGATGAGGTATCATCATGGAGATCTTGGACATATATTTTAGCAGCTTTTATAATATTTTTATCGTCATACATATTTAAATTGGCCGGAATAAGTCCTTCAAATGGCATAACATCAATAAGCCTTTGATTAAAACGAGCATTGATTCTATTAAATAGTCAAGATACATTATACATATAAACACGGCCCATGGGGGAGGCTATAGCCACCTTATCCCCCCCCTTGGCTACGCCACTGTACATGCGATAATAGAAATAATTGAATCGGAAAATTAAATCATCAGGCAGTAACGCACATGTAGGCGGCTGTGCTAGTCGAAATATTGAGTAACCAGATTTCATAAGCAGTCAGTCGACGTGCGACGGTCATCGAGTCATCAGTCGTCCATCGTAACGATCCATTCGACACGTACAATCGATTGAAATGGACGCGGAATAGGTTGTCTCTGTTTACTTTTTGTCTCAGAAGCCACGCAGAACAAACAAAAAAAATATTGAATTCATGCCCTACTTTCGGAATGTTACTCAAAAGGCTTGTTTCAAAATTATTTTAAGGATCTTCAAAAATCTCCGGAACGTTTTTTAAATTATACAAGAATATCCGTGAAACCATTCTTTGAGAAATAACGCGGTGGCCGTAAGGGGAGAGACATGAAAAACGTAAAATACGTCTGGTTACTTCAACTAGTGCACAGAGACTTATAGCAGTCACATACATTCTCGTTGTCTGCCTCTGGCTGTGCGCAGTTTACTGCCGCGAAATCGTTCACGTTCAAATAGTTGCCACAACCTGGTATCATTGGCTGCCCAGTGCAAGGGCTCTCAAACAGGCAATCATGTGTGGTATTGGCTATCTAGTGCGTAACTGTCTTTCATGTCACCCACATCCACAGATAGATTATGTATATTCTTAACGTTGATAAATCTCGTCGACCACGCGATAAATCACCCAATACCGATCACAATTAATTATAATCAATTTAAATAGATCTAAGTCTAGAATAGATCTAAATAATCATATTTAGCGTCTGCTCCACTATTCCACATGAAACAATTGAAAAAGAACTGAATCATACAGGTAGAAACCTTACTTGTCAAATTATTCACTTAAGAAACATCCCAACATGTTAAATCGAAAATCGAATAAATATTTATCACTTCAGTGTTGACGTTGCAATTTATACCTTCAATAGTTTATATAGTACACAAGTGAATTTAAAAACAAATTTAGATGCGATTTCTTTAACAATGCACGGAAAAGAAACAATCACTATCTGCAATATATTTACCAAACCAAACAAATCTTAATGGAAAGAATACCTATACCATTCATAATCACTAGCGACTTCAATAGCCATAATGAGTATAGGGTTCATTATCAATAGGTAAACGTAAAAATATATTTGACAAAATAATAAAAGATAATAATATATCCCTTCTAAACACAGGCAATAATACGTAACTAAATCCAAATAACAGAAATCTATCAGTTATTCATTTATCATTTTTAAATTTCAGCCTTAGTTCCGATCTTGGAACAACAAACGAATCTTGGACAGTCGAAATATAAATATAAGGTAGGTCACTTTTCAGTTATTATTTCAATTATACCAAAAGAATATGAACAAAAAAAACAAAATTAGCACAAGATGGAATTTAAAACACCCAAATTGAAAGTTATATACAGACATAATAGAAATAAAAATAAAAATTAAAAACTCAATGAACGACAATGCTACATTAGTACAATCAATCGAATTATTCATAGATTTAATTTATAATACCACTGAAAAAATAATCCACGAATGCACACAAAATTAGAAACCCAAAAAAGCTCTAGTGGAACAAAAAGATAAAAAAAGTGATACAACAAATAAAAATTGCACTGAATCGTTAAAAAAAGACTAAAAGCCTCAATGATTATATAATTTTTAAAAAATTCAAAGTAGAATCCAAATATTTAATTAAAAACAATAAAATAAGCTCATGGTGCGATATTACATCAAATTTAAACATAAATATAAATTCACTCAGTTTCTGGAACAAAATAAAATCCCTAAAAGGACTAAAACGTAAAATCTGAATAAACATACTAAATAATGACACTAATACTATCGTGCTATAACAAGAAGCAGCAAAAAAAAAACTGAGCAAATACTTCACTTAAAAAAAAAAATAAATAAACATTAAAAATTTAAATTGTAGTGCAGCATTAAAAAAATAAAAACTTTGAAAACGAACCAATTCAGTCCAAAATTAATTCATATAATGGAGAAAAAATTCAATTCAACGAAGAAATTTAAATTAAATATATATTACACGCACTATCCAAGTATAAAAATAAGAACTCCGGTTCAGATGAAATACCGTACTCATTATCTATCACTTCCCATCTAACGGAAAACTTTTTTTATTTCATATTTACGAGATATGAAAAGAAAACTCATTCTTTAATAATTGGTGATATAATATAATAATCCCTTTCTCAAAACCAAATAAAAACAAAATTCTAATAGACGGCTATAGACCAGTTTCCTTAATAAATAATATGAGTAAAATCCCTAAAGGAATAATAAATACAAAGCTAATATGGCACATAGAAGAAATAAAATACTTATCAAATTTTTCAAAATAATAAATCGACTATAGACCATAGACCTATTATCTAATTAATATGTCTATGCTATAGACAGCTTAGCATATATTTAATTAGAAATCAATAAAAAATTCTTCGAAAATGAATCTATGAATCTAATAAACATCGATATAGAAAAAGCTTATGACTGCACATAGAAATACAGAATAATCTCTAAAATAAGCAATATACTATGCCACGGGAACTTATTAAACTTCGAATTAATTCTTAAATCAATGCTTTTAAATCCTGTCTAGTTGAAAACATCTACATAATAGCAAGCCCATCCACTCCTCTTCCTCCGTGGATCCGAAGAATCCAAATTAATTTAAATTTCGCCTCGAGGCTAACAAGATACAAGTCAGAAAAACTAATTCAAAATCACATTAAACAGACAAACAACTGATAAAAATTAGATTTTTCTAATATAATGACACATGATATAATCCAAAGCTTTCCGTGGTCAACCAAAATGAGCATATATGCACGACAAGCTAATAACAAAAAAGTGCCACAGTTTCAGAAATTTTCAAAAACTTGTACAGTGAACTCAAAAGTATTATTTTTCGCTAGGGAATATACTCGACGCTTCCAAAAATAAAAAAGTTGTCAATATACATGGGCGCTCAAAGAGGAGGGGGTAAGACGGGACATTTCCCACCCCTGGAAAAAATTAACTGAACAGTAATAACAAGGTTTGCAATTAAACAACTGCGAAGACTTCAGTTTTTATTTAATAACGACTAAAGTGTGTATAATTCTGATATATTTTATTGTTTGCTAAGAATACATTTTTTAATATACTTTTTGATGTTTGATTTAATTATGCTCCCCCTCCTGATAAATTTCTTGTGAGCGCCCATGTCAGTATAAAATATAAAATATCAATATAAAGATAGCAATTATAATTGACATGAAACAATAAAGCATAAATTGCAAAAAAAAAGCTGAATTTATATG